GCTCCTGCTAGCCCCGGGGTGGGATCGCAGGGCGAGGGATCCGCATTGCAGGTGCACCAGGAGCGCCCCGGGGCCTAGCCCGGCTTTGTCTGGGATGCTGTGGGGAGGCGGCGGCTTGAATCCACATCTCCTTTTTAAATGCATGTTACCACCCAGGGGACCTTAGAGACCCTCCCTGACAAGTTGTATCGCCTCCTGTCCTGGTAGCCTTTCCATAAGTACGCTACCTGCCAGCCCCTTCCTGAAGCTTTGATGCGCTTTAGTTTACTCTGACGATTTGTCTGTGATTCGTGAAACGGAGCAGAAGGCACAAACGCAGCAGAGCTCCAGGTTTGGCTCCTGGGCTGCCGTCTGCTACCGCGAGTGAGTTTCTCTAACTTAGGTTTTCATGCTGGCCTGTATTGTTTCATTTCAAGCTTTGATATTTAGCAGTACGATCTAGTCCACTAATGAAAATTAGGCGGCCAGAGAGAAAATATAACTGTACTCTGTAGTTTAGGTTGCAGTAGTTGGTTTTGTAACAAAATACAAGCTACCAGGCTGTAATACTTTAACATATTACGCATTTCCAGAAACCTGTAAGAGTATTAAAGCTAGGATTGCCATTTTAAAACTTTTACATTTGAAATTAAAGAGCATTGGTATTGATAAAATGATTTTTTTTTTCACATTAAGAATTCCCATGCATTTTCTCGCCGTTGCATTGTAAGGAAAAAGATGCTAACGTTTGAAGTGACTTTTACCTCCAAAGATGTTTTGAAATGTATGTAATTCTTTTGGCTAACTGTTTATCTTACGTGAAATATGCTTGGTAGAAGGCTTTAAAACTCGTGATTATATTTACGGGTATGCGTACCTATACTTATCACTGAAAAATCTTGAAATAGTTTTGTTACTCCTCTGCATATTATAATTACGCAGTAAATTTAGTTTAGGCACATTTAAGATCTAAGGTACAAGACAATTATTTGTGTGAGATTTTTACTCTAACATTTTAAATACATCAGTTTGACAAATAGGTTTTTTTGGAAATTAGAAATTTTTATTAACTCTTTTAAAAAAAAGAATCATTCATCTTGGGTATATAACTCTTTCATCTGCCATGTTGCATAAATTGCCAAATTGGATAAATTGATCTCAACTTACCCAATTATCTTTGGATAAATTGAGCTCAATATAATTACCTCATTGATAGGATGCCTTTGCAGTGACACTAACGTTAATAAAGTGTTGATGCTTTTAAAAAATACTTACGTTGAAAAAGCATTTTCTCGTATTTCTAGCAAGAAAAGTCATGGAACTTTTTTCCTTCTATCTGGAACCAGGTCAGCCATAAATAGTTTCTAATACATAGTGGGCACACATTTGGTAACTAAGATTAATTATATCTACTGAATTTACTGAATTCCATATCCTTCAAGGGCAGTGACTAGGTGACTTTGTGTCTTCACACACCAATGTTGCAGTAAACGTTTGAGTCAGATTGAAGTTTCATCCCGGCTAGGTAGGTGCTAACCTAATGACACCGGTTTCCACATCTTCAGCTCTGATGTTTCAACCTGCAGAAGGATTTGGGCAGGGAAGTGGCTGTGTCCTAATTGTCTTCAGATATGTGGAGGTCTGTCATGCAGCAAGGGATTTCATTTATTTTGAGTAATTAGTACAGAAAAACAGATTTCACTTTCACGTAAAGGCAAAAGTTGTTTATGGTGAGAACTAGCAGTGGAAAGAAGGGGCTGCTCCTTCCCTAGGGGCTTTTGGGATCAGCTGGTTCCCCACTTGGCCTGAATGTCTGTTAGGAGGTATCACAGGTATAGGGCGGTCTTTCTGAGAGGGACTCCTAGGTATTCCGATGGCAACTATATTCGAGGACTTCCGTACTTCACTTTTAGCACTGTGGCTTTTGTTTTTTGTTTTCTTACGCTGGCTTCTACAGTTGTGGACATAGCAACATCCCCAAACACCTACACAAACCCTGGGAAGATTTTTAGTAGATTAAAGACCCACCTGCTATCAAAGATGGTTCTTAGTCCTGCTTTGCGTTTGTATGGCACGTTACAGGAATAAAGCACTCTCAAATTCAGTGTGTTTTAAAAGACTCTTTTTAATTATACATGATTTGTATTTCTTTCTTTGACTTTTATTTTCTACAATAAACATTGAATCAAGAGGAAAATTACCCTTTTCTAGGAAGGCAAGCACAAAAGTCTTTTTTTAAAGCTCTTTTTAAAAAATAGGATGGTGCCAGTCATTCTTTGGAGAGCCAGCAAGTTGTGAAGGTGAATCGTTCTTTTACTTGGCTGAAAACATTTTTTAAAAGATACTGAATAAGGCTGGGTGCAGTGGCTCACTCCTGTAATCCCGGCACTTTGCTAGGGCGAGGCGGGCAGATCACGAGGTCTCAATCGAGACCATCCTGACCAACATGGTGAAACCCCATCTCTACTAAAAATACAAAAATTAGCTGGTCATGGTGGCACAGTATTCCCAGCTACTCGGGAGGCTGAGGCAGGAGAATCGCTTGAACCCAGGAGGCGGAGGTTGCAGTAAGCTGAGGTCATGCCACTGCACTCCAGCCTGGCGACAGAGCAAGACTCCGTCTCAAAAAAGAAAAAAAGAAGAAGAAGAAGAAGAAAAAAGACTGAATAAGAGATGATTCTTGTGCTTGCTCCGCATTTTAGTTTGTTTATTTCATTACTCAAACATGACTCAAGTTTCACAGCAAAAAGTCCAGTCATATCCACCTACATTAAGTTGCATTGGATGTTTTTTCAGTATGTCTGCATGGTTTTTAAAATATGCTGGCAGCTGAAGGTAAAACAAAGCCAAGAAGTAGAATTACAGCAAGCTGAAAAGCTTAGGGGAATTGGAGCTTTGTGTTTGAAGAAGAAAAACATGTGCCCTGTTTGTATGAAACCAATCTTGAGAATGATGGTTTTATCAAAAATGGGAATAATAATTTATCTATTATAACAAAGATTCGGCTACTGAGTGTCAATCTAATACATGTATTAAGTGGGTCAATGAGGTTGGGACTCCAGTCTGTGGCTAAGAAGCAGAGCAGAGTTACCTGTGAACACGAGTGCCCAATACACAAGGATTGAAGTGCAGCAAGACGGTAATGAGGCCAATTGAGTTAAACCAAGGTCCGACCTCTCCAGTTTAGGAAGAAGAGGAAAAAACGATTCTGAATTAATGTCTGCTTGGACTGGACTTTTTAAACATCTTTTAAAGTAGTTTCTCTCTCTTGTTTTGTAGCAGATGAGTTTGTCTCATGCGTTTGTGTCTCTTACCCATTAGCTGACTTTGGGTGTGATAAGTGACTAAGAGTCCTCAAACTTTGAACAAGGAATATACCATTTATTTATGCTGTATGCATGAAGGGAAAAGAGACGATTATCAAGATTTTCTGGCCAACCAAGAAATAAAATGAAACCTTAAAAATACTTATTTTTCCAGGAAAAAAAATCACAGATACTACTTAAATATTATTACCAGGACAGCAAATTAGCAAATAAGGCAACCAGTTAGAAAGCAGCATTTTCAAGGTTAAAGATTGCATTTTAAAGCTTTTAGCCATGACTTTTGAAGGGATCACACAAACATCTTAAAAGACTTCTTTGTTAATCAGAAAACAGTTTACATGCAAATTTCCGCAATGGAGAGCAGACCGAGATCAATACTTTGACGATTATTCTCAGCTTACTGCTTTATCAGAAAGAACTTTACTACGAAGCAAGAAGTGTCTACTCTTCTGTGAAGGAGTAAGTTTTCTCCTTGTTTCTGAAATTCTTTATTCTAGCTGAATTCTCAGGACCGAGCAGTGAACTTCCATTGGTTAGCACCAAATAGAGCAAGCCTGAGAAAGCTGCTTATAATAAGGGGAAAAAACGACAGAAGAAAACTTTTAATAAAGGAGTATAAGGCACGTAATACTCTGCTTCTACAAATTTTCTTTTTGTTGCCTCTTTGGCAACACTTCAGATACTAAATTTAGGTCTGCATAAAATCCATTATCCTTTGCTCTTCAGATTTCCTCCCCAATCTATTTCTAAATGCATCCTGTGCCCTTCTCATTTACTATGCAAGTAAGAGAGTTTATGAGAAGTCGTTAAAGCCCATTTTCTTAGGTAACATTGTTTAAGCATTAATGCTACATGTAAATTGTCGTTCCCAATATTACTGCAATACTCTCTTAAAGTTGCACATTTTACCTAGAAATCCGTGGCATCATACTCTGAAAAGGCCATCTTTGATATAATGTAGAGGACATGTAAAAACACTGGGTTCCCAAGAGAAAGTTCCATCTCTATCATACATAGCATAATTATCTTAGGATCGCCATATTTTTCTAATGATAAATGAACATAAGAGGTTAGGCTCACACCATACCCTAAACATTAAAGGAGGCTTTTTGTAACTCCTTTCTCTTCAGCTGTCACACACATCAACCCAGATGAAAGGCACTGCTAGTGTTTCTGCCTCGGTGGCTAGTAGCGTGTTAGGGCAGATATGCATTTTTAAAATAGCCAAGTCTTGCACATTGATAAGAAAGATGGAGAAAGGTTGGGATTTTTTGCTCAGTTTTGTGTTCCCATAGATAAGAACATAGTAGAAGTTACTAGGTTTGGCCTGTCATTTTCAGGGAAGGTCAGTATCTTGATACCGAATCATCTTTATCTTTTGGTTGAGTCCCTGTGACAAGACCAGAAAGTTCTAGTGGAATAGAGCAGCAGCTTTCTGGCATTAAGGTACTTGTTCATTGACATGCCCTATTGCTCTCGGGGGAGGAAGGATGTGTAATCCTCCTCAGCCTCTGCAATGTGATAGATTTCAAGTGAGGAATTGTTTTCCATCAATAAAGGGGTCAAGTCAGTTTTTGACAAGTTTATTAGTACAATAAGGCTGTGGTATCAGGACCCAGTTCAGAGATGAACAAAGCCAAACCATATTATTTGAGGGCAAAGGCAGGTTTTTAGGGGAGAGAGAAAATAAATATCCAAGTAGAAACAGAGCCAGAAGTGAGACCTTGGAGACAGGTTGAGAGCTGTCTATTTGGAGGTGTTCTTGTGTCTCATCCCTTGTTGCAGGATGGAACTCAGAGCTTTGGGTGACCATTGGCTAATTCTAGAACACTGCACTGAATGTTACTCATTAGCAGGCTGTGGTTAGAGCAGAGTGCCTTTCCTAGTAGTTTCAGGATGCCAGCGGGACCTGCCTGTGCAGTGACCATCTTGAGTCTGAAATTTAAGTGGAAAGCAGCAAATTAGCCATTCCTGTGTTTAGAGAAAACTGAGTTTAATTAGAAGGTGTCAAAGTCGTTGGGGTCAGCATGTTCCTACTGAAGAAACCGGGAATCCTCG